GGGAAAGAGAGAGAGGAAGTAGTGCATAGTGACTTGCCCCTTGGGACAAAATGGGGTATTTTTTGGGCCCTTGTGTTCCTTTTTATATATTTGAATATTTTTGGTATATGAATACGGTGAAGAGACTAAAGTCCCTTCTTGTAAGAAAATGCATGAGCGAAGTGAGAGGACAAAAGTTCTATTATATGAAAAGACCCCTCTGTTTATAGAAGAGGGAAGAAATTAAGGAAAATTACACTTATAACCCACTTTATGAGGGGTTGAACTAGCTATACTACTAATTACACCCCTGTTGGCCCAAGATCTTGTCGTTCTTTGACTCGAGATTGAAAAGGTGAATTGATCAGTGTTGTCGGTCGACCTTCTGAATCGGGACCGTTGGTCGGTCTATCCTTCAGATCTAGGCGATCGATTGGATTTCTTAAGTTGATCAGGCCGACTAATATTAGTCAGAAAGATGAGTCAGGTCGGTCATCAGTCTTCAATTCTTGGCGGGAAAATTCTTGTTGGCCGAGTAGACTTGTAACCTCAAGCTGAGGATGCCATGTGGGCATGTATCGTTGGGTCAATTCGGAAAACCCTGGCTAGCTGAGCCAATCCATTTTCCTGGGTCCTCAAGTTATTTTTCGGTGGTCCAGCTTTTTCATATCATTATTTCTTAAGTTGTCGGATGGTCTTAATATTCGTGCTAATATTTTTTCTGTACATATTTAGCCATTTGATTCTATTAGTTCTTGAAAGTGACATCTCTCATAAGAACAAGAGAATATAATGCAAAAAAATAAACAATACCTATGATTACTTAATAATGCAAAAACTGAACTCCCCTTGAATTTGGCGTCTGCGATTCTTAAAAATATGGAGTGAGAGGCGTTCTTTTCCCATCTTCCTCTGATTTTCTTCGCCTGGTATGTCTGAACTTAGATCGCAAGCATAGTGAATGAGTCGTCCTCCAAGGCTGATGCCAAGTACAACAAAGCCGCTTACTAGAGGGCTTTCAAGGATTTGAAGCGTGGAACTGACTCCCGCCCGAAAGTTGATCGAAAGCATAAGTTATTGGTGACGAAGCAGAGGATGCGCGATCCAGAGGATCAGGTGCGGTCCTCGAACTCGCTCCTCGCTCATCCCAATGAGGTGTGGGGAAAGAAGGTGGCTCGAAAGAGAGGGCTCGTGAGGAGAAAGGTCGCCTGGGAAAGATGTCTCGGGCAGAGTAAGATGGTTGTTTAAAGGAACGACCTATCGGCTCCTACTCAGACTCCGGCGCCACCATCCAGGGTAGCAAGGCAAGAAGTTATTGGTGTTTTGGTGTCGCCAAGTGCACAAGGTGTCACCGACCATCCTCCTCCAACCGAGGGATAGAAGACTGATGAGAAAGGGTTCTCTTTCACCATTTCGGAGTGGGAATGAATCATGGGTATGGAGGATGCATGTTGGGTGAATTTTCTTTTTTCGGATCTTGTTTTATATTGTCTTTTGATGCAGACGGCCTGATCAACAGAGAGTGACCCTCGACTACCCTTCATAGGAGGTTGATGTTGATCTAGTCGCCCAAGGCGGACTGAGAGTCTGCCAAGGGCGCTCTGCGCCAAGTCGGGGCTGGGAGCAGTTGTCCAAGTTTCCTTGGGAAGGCCCAAGCGAGGATGGCCGAAAGGTCGTAATCTTTTAGCTCAAAAGTTGTGTGAGATAGAAGATTCGCTCATCCAGGCAGAAAGATTTCCTTAGGTAGGGGAGATACACCTGTTGGTTGAGCGAGTGAATATATTAGAAAAGGTGGAGAAAGAGGTGGTTGTCATCCGTGCTCGGGAGGCCGCCCTTTGCAAATAAGTTTCATTTCCTGGGCGAACCTATGGTCATCTGCACAAGCTGAAATAGATAATGTATATAGGTTTAGACAATGGGGCAAACTTTTGAACAAACACCTGCTTTAGCGAGGATTTGTCTTAGCTGAAGGGGTTGCCGATAGTTTTGTAAAATATTTTCTTAAGTAAACATCGAGCTGCAGATGTAAAATATTTTTATTTATGAAATAAAAGTTTAAATATTTATATCTCGATTTGTGTTTGATTTGACCCCTTCTCGCAATTTCAGAGTGGTAAATGACATCATTGTCCAAAGATTATTTAACTTCCTTCCATTTTCTATAAATAGGGATGAGAGTTTAGGGAATCCTCGCACGACTGTTCTAGCTTCTTGAGTTCATTTTGTCGATTTCTTCTTTCATCACTTTCTTTCTTCATCTTGTTTTCATGGCTCACAAATATTTACAAGAGCTCTTCAGTTCCATTCTATTTGAGGAAGTTTCGATCCTGACAGTGTGCCAGTGGAATACCTTCAAAAGTCCTTTGTTTATGGGCAGTCGGTAGTTTTGAGGACGGTCGGAAGTAGTGATTGAACGGCCGATGTAAATGGCAAAAACTTGATCTTCTACCGAAAAGAATTTAAATGTGAAATGAGTCAACAATTCTGCAAGGAGCTGTGGAGGATCCTCCACTACGGTGTCATTCCCGCACATGTGATGCAAAATCAGTTGTTGTCATCATGACCCTCGACATCTTTCTCCTGCAACTGATTATCCCGTGGCTAACCAGCCGCATTTCTTATTTCTTCAACTTTAAGATCAGTCGAGATGGTATATGGTGTCATTGACAGGCCCCAATCTCTGGCTTGTGAGACTTACGAATAAAATCAAGAACTGAAAGCTGAAGTTTCTAGTTGGTTCCTGCCATGGAGGCTAGGGGATCGGAATCTGGCTCATTGCAAGCACACCCAAAATAATCAAGAACCTTCCAAGACCCCTAAGAGAGTAAAGGGTATGATCGAGGGGTGAGAGTTGTCAGTACATCACTACATGAACTCCAACATAACATCTTAAACAAGTCGGAGGAGTTCGCGGTCACGACCAATGAACTTTGGAGGCCTCCGACGCCCAGGAAGCAAAGCGAAAAGTGGAGGTTGCAGCAAAAGCGGTTGGAAAGAAACTGAGGGTGGAAGACCGCAGAATCGTCAATCCCTGCGAGGGCCAAAACACTAAAGGTATGGGGCTTGGTTCTATTTCACTTAGAAAATTACTTCATTTTTGCATCTTTCAAAGAGTTCTTGCAAACTGGTCGGAAGGATTTCTTGTCAAGTGCTGGGACTTTCAGAGTTCGATAGGACTCTTCCAAGACACTTAGTTTCTTCTAACTGAGCAATGAGGAAGAGGATGACGCATCTCCAGCCAGAGCCAAGATGGCCAAACAGCTTGGTGTTCCCTTCATCGACGACGGGTCGAGGAGCGACGCAAGCCCACCGTTGCCCATTTCTCTATCTGATTCTAGTACTAAGGCCAACGACGAGGTGGAGTCAGACCGCCAGGAGGAAGGCACTCCCCACCATAAGGGAAGACTCCTGTTGAGGACATTTTCCCACCTCCTCGGTTTGAACGAAAGGGTTCTCCTCTGAGGTGGGTTCCTTCCATGGATGACGATAACAAAGTTTAGTTGATCTTCGTTAGGCTTTTCACCATGGTGGATATAGAGATGGATTGGTACATGGAGATGCCCACAGCAGCGAAATATCCTTGTCTCCCAGCAAAAGTGGTCCGCTCTGATTCCTTTGAGCTGATGTTGAGGAGTATGGGCAGTGTGGAATTCAGTCAAAGTAGCAATCGATTCCACCTGATGGCATGGTCGGTCGACCACTGTCAGGCAAAGGCCTTCTGTCAGATGAGGAGGAGAAGGCAACTGCCGAGTAAAAGATGGTCGAGGTGATAGCCCATAGGCAGGAAGCACATCAAAGAGCTATCCAAACAGAGAAAGTGTTGAAGTTCTTCGTCGAAAGTCGGACGAGGGAGTCGATTTGGATGAACTTTGGCTAGCGTGAGTTAATCATTTTCCTAGGTCCCCTGATCATTTTTCGGTGCTCCAACCTTGTCATGTCATTCTTTCTTAGGCTGACGGACTGCCTCGATATTCGTGTGAACACGTTTTTTTTCTGTGCAGTGTGTATATATAGATATATATATATATA